TAATTATAACGCTTTAACTGTCACGTTTTTCAAACAGCGAATATACAGATAACTCGAGCAAAGAACATTTACATTATCAAAGAACAGTGGGCCTCATTTATCAGTCTAACGCAGAAACAAGCACAGATCCGAGCGCACAAATCATCTTACGACAGAGTTCATGTGTGATTCATTAAATATTCGTATGCCGCCAATTCTATCATACGAATGTACAACGTACGTAATCAACGTACGTTGATAAATGTGGTGGCTGAAAACAATTGTCATTTGAATATCATGCCCATAAAAATACCCCGGTTTAGAAGCCTTGTCCCTAGAGTTTACGGCACGGAGAAACGTAACTCGGCCAAAATGAGGAAGTAATCTCATACAAGAGAAATTGATCTTACTCAAAAAACACCCGTTAAGTAATTGCAAACTATTACATTAATTTATATGTATATTAAATAATGGTAAATATAATGAAACATTTACAAACATTATAAACACTATATAGCTTAGTTCTCCTCATTCCACAACAAGTCCTCTAAATAGTAGTAGCCACTGTTCACAACCTTATTGATAAATTCCAAGTTTTGCGAAGAAATGACCGTACGCCCAATTTTCTGTCGTACGTTCGTTTTGTAAATGAGGCCCAGTATGACTGACTTCAGTCTAGCACGAGTTTAAGCACTTTCAAAGAACTAAACACTAACAAACAAACAAACAAAAATCTGTCCATACACTGTTTGATGAATGAATCTCTTACTTACATCATACGTACATGTGCACTTTGTTGTTTATGATGAGAGAATTGGCGAGAGAGCAGAATTCAGCTCAAAACGCCGGTATTTCAGCGATGACTCATCTGAACGCTTCTGATTGGCCGTTGTATTTATAAACTCAATGGAGTCGTGTGTGATTGGTTATAATGCGCAACGCTGTAAAAAACGCGTAAAAAGAATTATGATGCAACATGAACAAGATTTTAAATTAAATACTGCAATCAACTCTTTTCATTTTCTTTTTATTCCCGACAGCCGTAATGGATTTAGTGTGACTGTGCAGCGGCATTTTGTACCAAGCCCCCGTTAAATTCTGACCCGTAGCCTTACAAGGAATAAGAAGGGAGTTTCATTAGGTCAGAGCTAAAATGTTCAGTAAGAACACACACTTTCAGTCTTCTGAATACATTCAAATGTTGCTGTATTTTATTTTTCCAGTAAGGCCTAAATGTAAAGGCTTTATTAAGATTCTAAGATACAGTTACAGTTCTAAAAATACTATTTATTGCACTCATTTCTCTGTTGCGTTCTGTCTGTTTGACGCGCATACACGCATACACACACATGTTTCTAGTTATAGCTTTAGTTTGTTTCTGTTATACATGGTTATGCCAAACTGTTGTGAAATGAAAATATGCACATAATTACAGTATAAATTATGCGCTGGAAAAAGCATCTCTTGATCATAAACGGCTTAAATGAAACTTTACAAATATAAGTTCCTTTAAAGTTCAAGACAACTTAGGTCAAGCCCATTTTCTCAATCTGGTTTTCTCTGTGGTCTCTGCCAATTTGAAAAGCATCTCAGAAACATTGGTATATACAATGGTCAAAGACATCATTTCTTAACTTCGCGCGCGCACATATATATATATATTTTTTTTTTAGTGAGTTGGAGAAATTGAAATTCAACTGCAGTAACTGCGGTGTAAAATCAGTTGCAAATAGTTAAATATATGCAAGATGGCAGTTCAGTTTATACTATAAAAAGAAAAATCGCAAAAAGTGACTCTAAATGAAACACCCTATACTGAACGGCAGTGAGAGACCACATTTTCTTGTGCTGTCTCCTGTCAGTTCTTGTATTCCTGATGGCTCAGGCCAGCACGGTAATTATCATCTGCAGTGGGCATAAACACGGTTGATTAAGGTAAATGATATAGGATTATGAGCAGATTCCTGTAGACCTGAACATGAGGTGAAGCAGAAACATGTAGGTTGAGGGCCTTTCCAGGCGACTACTGAGAGAACCTATAATCACAGCTGCTTTGTTAGTGAGAGCAAAACCAAATATTTCCCTCTGATCATCTATTCTGCCTGAGTCCATCCTGAGTGTGTGTGTGGGTATGTGTGGGTAATCCTTATAATAGAAATGCCATTTCTGATTTAGACGTTGAGACGTGATGACAGTCGTGCCGCTGGGAGTGAGGCACACAGCTCATATCAACAGAAGTGAAACTCTAGCGCTGGAATCAATATCTGCGCTCAGAGTTTACCGCAGCTGATCAAGTGTCCTCATATCTGGAGAGCAGTGGATGCATTTAGATCACTTTAAAAGAAAATCATCTTACCTTTACAGAATAGTTTCCTTAAAATGCTGTCATCATATTATTTATTTATTTATTTGATTTGTAAGACACTTCCATCTCTGTGGGTGGTAATTGTTAATTAATCCGTCATTGTATAGCCAATTAACTATCCATCTGATATTTAATCATCTTGTGTCTACGGTTAGTACCTAAACCTGGGGCCCGTTCTTCGTACCTCTGAGATGATTTGAAAGATGTCAGATCTTCTAATCGTGATAACTGATCTCTGGCTAATTTGGTTCTTCAAACGAATTTGTGGATTTGATTAAAATATCTGGATTAAGTTGTCTAAGATTACTGCTTGTTCTCGTGTTCCCTGTAAAGGGCAGATTTATCGATACTCGAAACCACGATCAGCAATGCAGCGATTGGCTGGCGGCAAGACAGCAACGTAATGAGATCATATAATTAAAAAAGACACCTGACGAAAAACTTGACAAATTTCCGGACCTTTATAAGGAAACGAACAAAACTACATAAATGTTATAATAGATAAATGAAATGTGCACTGCTTTTTATTTTGCTTATTGTATTTTTTTTTTTTTAAATGATTCCCAATTATTTATATTCACGATTTCTAGTATTTGTACAGGCTTTGCATTTTTATTTCAATGTTGTAATTA